AAAAAAAAAAAAAACGCACCTTTTTTGGTTCCCTTTCTTTGTTTTGTAATGAATTAGCTTGGGTTATTGGTTAATGGTCCCTAAAGGTGTTGCTTTTATGGATAAAAGAAAGAAAAAGAGATTGAAAAGCTAAATTGATGATATTAATTTCTCTCTCTCTCTCTCAAATAAAAGCGAGAAGATGGTACATTTTTTGGGTGTATTTGTACAACTTTATAGAAATAATAAAAGGGTTTGCTAATGCAACTCCTTTTATTATACATTTTGGTTACATCCCTATAATAATAATAAAAGGGAAGCTTCTCTTTTCATGGAAAAATACACCCTTTTTTAAATTTCCCTTTTTTTCATCTAAGCCACCAAAAACCTAGAAAAGGGAATATCAAAAACCCATATAAATAACATAGTAACATCATATCTTATATTATAAAAATATATATTTATATATTTATATATATATATAGCATTACCAAACCCAACTGCCTGGTTCTTGTTCTTGTTCTTTCCCTATTGCATAATTAAGCTCCTAATTATGGCTGCCTCTGCACTATCAGCATCTATTGTAGACAAGAGCTGAGAGAGCCTTTCACTTAGGTCATCCACCTCCCTGTGTAAGTTTCTAATGTAATTGCAGGTCTCTTGGAGGACTTTTGAGGCTGAAACCTGAAGAACAGATAAGAACAAATTAAAATATTAAATAATAATAATAATAATAATAATGTCAAATCTGAAATTAAACAAAAAGCAAACACTTGGATGTACTTTAGGTTTGTTTGTTTAGGCCATTTTGAATGAAGTGGGTTTGATTTAATTATATGTTTTGTGGAAACCCCAATTAAAATCCAAAACTTTTGAATTACTTTACTTAGCTAACGTTATTGTTAAATTCTTTAATTGACTTAGACTCACCAATGGAGTTTGTTTCCACCGACCGTACATTTCCAATCAGTGCCATGAATTAAGTGTATAATAATAATAATAATAATAATAATAGAGTCAAATATGAACACCTCCCATCACGACAATCAGAATCTTTAGCTTAAAGCAACACAAACATTTGATTTTTTTTTTCTCTTTTTCCCCCAAAAATGTAGATTTGAGTATAAGAAGTTGTGAGGAGGGGAGTTGTACCTTGTCGGAGCGGCGATGGCGAATCTCGGGGACAAGGTGTCGAAGCTTGGAAATGAGTTCGATGATTTGGTCGTCGGAGATTCGGGAAGCACCGGGCTGCCTTGATCTCCGGGTAGATATGGTGTGAGTGTTGAGTTGATGAGAGAAGAAGTTGGGGTTGAAGGGGGAGGGAGGGGAAGTGATAAGAGTTATAAAGAGGAAGGAGGAGAGAGAGAGAGAGAGAGAGAGAGAGAGAGTGTGGTGGAAGTGTTGGATATGAAGAAGACAAATGGTTGGGAGAAAGGAGTGGGAGTTGGGTTAGTGTTATAGGAAGGGGAAGAGAGTTTGTGTAGTCTGTTTTTGTGTTCCCAAGTTAGGGATTCAACTCAAGTGGGCTTCAACAAATGTGTTTGTTCTTCCCTTAACACAGTGGGCCTTTCTTGTTTATGTCTCAATCCACAACTCCATGTGATTTCCCCATTTCCTTAACCACACTCACTCATTTCCCTCTCCATTTCTCTCTTACACATACTTCTCTCACCAATCACATCTTGCCACGTTTCTTTACCCCTCCTCCCCCCTTTTACCCCTCCCTCACACAGAGAGAGGAACGCTTGTCACTCACAATCACACTTTTGATGGCAGCAGACTTGCGATTGTGCGGCACTCACTTTCCAACGACAAATGAGCTAAGCCAATTCGTTCTTGCGTCGTCTATGACCAAGCAACGTATGTTCGAACCTCTGACCTCGGTTTTAAGAGAAGGTTTTAGAAAACGAGGGCAAAGAGAGATTTTTGAAAGAGACGTTATATAAACAAGCAACAGAGAAATAACAACGGCTCACAAAGGGAGAAGCTTTCCTCGTAAGGGTGTGGAAACCTCTCTCTAACATATGCATTTTAAAATCGTGAGGCTGACGATGATACGTTACGGGCCAAAGTGGACAATATCTGTTAGCGGTGGACTCGGGTTTTTACAAATGGCATCAGAACCAGATACAGAACAGTGTGCCAACGATGTTGTTGGCCTTCTAAAGGGAGTGGATTGTGAGATCCCATATTGTTTGAAGAGGAGAACGTAGCATTCTTTATAAAAGTGTGGAAACTTCTCCCTAACAGACGTGTTTTAGAATTGTGAGATTGACGAGGATAAGTAACAGGCTAAAATGAACAATATCTGTTAGCGATGAGCTTGAGTTTTTACAAATGATATTAGAGCCAGACATGAGGTAGTATGCCAACGACAACGTTCAAATCCTAAGGGGGTGAATTGAGAAATTTATGGTTGGAAAGAAGAATGGAGAATTCCTAATAATGGTGTGGAAACATCTCCTTAACAAACACGTTTTAAGACCTTGAAGCTTACAATGATATGCAACGGGTCAAAATGGACAATATTTGTTGGTTGGAGAACGAAACGTTCCTGATAAGATATTTTATTTTGAATTAAAGGGTATTGGAAAGTATAATATAAATATATAAATACCGTACAGAGAAGGTAAGAGGATGAAATAGATAAGAAAATTAAATAAAAAGAAAGCGACATAGGGATATACATTTAATGGGGAGTCTAATTAATGAGAGTGGATTAAATAAAATTTAAATGCGTTATGACTTTATACAATCTTTTTTCATAATAAATTCTCTTCCAACCAAAATTTTTACAATAAATACGAGTGTACTAAAAAAAAAATATTCAGATTTTTTTATTGAATGTTTATTCCTTTGCAATATTTTAAATGATTAATTAATGAATTACCATTTTAAAAATCTAAAAATATATAATATCTCAAATTAATATTAAACAATTATTGTGATGTAAATTGATGCATATATTTCTACCACTATTTATCATCAACAAGATATTACAATATGTTAGATGAGTGGTTTATAATATCTTCAATATCTAACTTTTTATAATATTTTAATTTTATAAATATCGGTACATTTACCACACTTTTTATTTATTTATTTTCTCCCATTTTAAAGTTTTTTTAAATTTAAATTTAAGTCGAAATTATTTATAGTTTTCATCGACTTTCTATATGAATTTTATTTGATAACTATTGTTTTGTTCTTTTTCTCTCCAATGGTATTTATTTGACTCTAATAAAATATTTAAATTTGCCTAAGATTCTCCTTATCGTTTCACGTTTGTCAACATTTATTTTCATTTACTATTTCTCATGTGACCATAAAATAAGATGCACACTTGACATCTGTGTCCCTAAACTATAGTTAAATTTTTTTTTAAAATCATATAATAATAATTTTTTAAAAAATATTGGAAGGTTTGATGAGTGAGACATTAGTAGGTGAGAGAAGAGATAGATTTGCATAAGATTGTGAAAGGGCAAAGTCACATGCAATTTCCTAAGAGAAAACGACGTGCCACGTGGCATGCCTTATGTTTTAGTATTTATTTTTTTTTTAAATAAAAAAGGGAACATATTTCTAAACACAAGCATAGATGTGAAATTTCCATACTTTTCTCTAGCATCCTCACGTGCCTCTCACCCTCCCCCCTCTAATCTCTCCATTATTAATTTGTTGCCACGACTAAAAACCAATTTTATTATTTTGCCATTAACCACCAACTTGTTCATTTGTAGGGCACCCACACTTTCCCTCCCCCACCCTAAAAAAACAAATCACTTCTACGAGTTTTAAAACGTGTCTACTAGGGAGAGGTTTTCACACACTTATAAATAATGTTTCGTTCTTCTCTCTAACCGATGTGGGATCCCACAATCCACTCTTCGCTAGCACATTGCTTAGTGCCTAACTCTGATATCATTTGTAATAATAGCTCAAACCCACCGTAAACAGATATTGTCCACTTTAGCCCGTTACATATTATTGTAAGTCTCATGGTTTTAAAACGAATTTACTAAGGAGAGGTTTCCACATCTTTATAAAAAATACTTCGTTCTACTATTGAATTTCACATTATTTTCAACAGAGGTCATACATGAATGATTTAAGAGAGTTGTAGGGGAATGAAAACTCTTATCTTGAAATTTATGAATGAGATTTCCCTTTTGCATTAATTGTGTGGGAGTTAATGAGGGTGTAAAGTAGAAGCAAGCAAGCAAGCAAAGCAAAGCAAAGCATGTTGTCCTTGTTAATCAGTTATTGGAGGGCCATGGTAGAATATATGACATATGGGGTTCTATCATACTCATCATTTATTTCATGTCTAACCCAATTTATTGCTTTTTATATACAAAAATTATAAAATATTGTATTCTTCATCTTTATCTTCATGCTTCACTAATCTCCTTATCTCATTATATGTTTTTTATATTCAATGTCGTGGATTGCATGCATAGTATTATACGATTTGTAGAATTAATACACACCATTATCGTCGTTAGTTTCACGATTTTAAAATGCATATATTAGAGAGAGGTTTACATACTTTTATAATGAATGTTTCGTTTTCCTCTCCAACCATTCGTAACATTTTAGAACGATTAAACTAAACAATTTATAGAAAGAAAAAGAAAAGGTAATAATGTGATGCATGCGAATATCCCTTTAGTTTGAAGGAAATATATTGTTCAACTTGGAGTTAATTAGTTAGTTTTAAGTTAACCATAATTACTTTTACTTTAACTTAATCCCTCCCCCTTTAATTTTGATAGTGGGAAGAAGCCATGAGTCTCCGACAAATCAATCCCCATATTCGATTAATTTTCCTTAAACTTGATTAATTACATAAAATTAGTTGTGAAAAGATTGTTTAACAGAAGAAATTATATGAATAAATGAAATTCTCCGACACCCAAATTAATGATGTCTAAGCATGCACCACTTTAATTTATTTGCACTCATTTCCAATTAACTAAACTTAGGTTACTTAATTAAATATATAAACCATTAAATGTACCAAATTTAGGATATAGTTTGTGATTTAATTTAGTATGGTATTTTAAATTTATTATTTATAAACATTTTTTTATTCTTCAAAAATAATTTATAAAAATTCTCTTTTTTTTTTTTTTTTTTTTTTTTTTTTTTTTTTTTTTTTTTTTTTT